CGATCGTCGGACGGGACCTCTGTACGAGGTCCCGGTCATGTGATCACTGATTGGCGAATCAGTGATCACATGCAAAGTAGTAAGCAAGATGTCACTTGTGACATCATTGCTTACTACGTGTGAAATCTGTGAATGATCACAGAGGTCACATGGTACAAGGCTATTCACAACAGCCTTGTACCACGTGACAAGCTGTGACCAATCACAGCTCACTCAGAATTTCTCAATGACTGCAAGAATGCAGACAGAGAGAAAGAGAAATGATTGCTTTTACATCCTATATGGGTGTAAAAGCAATCAGTGTAAAAAAAAAAAAAAAATCTTCATCACCCCCCACAAGTAGTACAATGTCACCATGGTGACACTGTACTGCTAGGGTGACAGTATGTAAAAATAAAAAATAAAAATAAAAAAATAATATAAAAAAAAATAAAATAAAAATGTAAAAAAAAATGTTTAAAAATTATAATGTTTGGTTATAAACTAATTTGGATTTTTTTTTTTACTAAAAAAATAACGGAATAAATTTTGGTCAAGATTAAGGATGAAATATTATTTATTTTGCAAAATTTTATTAAAAAAAAAACACTTTTTTTCAAAATTTTTGGACTTTTTCATTTACATAGTAAAAAAAATAAAAATCCCAGCGGTGAATAAATACCACCAAAATAAAGCTTTATCTGTCTCAAAAAAATGGTAAAAAATTCATATGGGTACAGTATTGCATGACCGCGCAATTGTCATTCAAAGTGTGATAGCGCTGAAAGCTGAAAATTGCCCTGGACAGGAAGGGGGTAAAAGTGTCCGGACAGGAAGTGGTTAATATCACACAACATAAAAAATTGGAACTACCACTATTTTATTCTCTAGGGTCTCTGATTTCAGAAAATATATGTTTGGGGGTTTTGTGTAATCTTCGGGCCTAAAATGATTTTTTTTTAATCAACTAAAGGGATAAAGGATTAGCCCGACACTCCCCTTTCCTGACAAGCACCCAATCAGTGCTCATTACACTGCAAGGTCTCTCTGCTCCCTGCTAGTCCCCGGGTGCGGTGCTGGAGACAGGTGGGGAGTGGAGGAGGAGATAAACAGCGCCATGTTAAAAATATTACACATTTAAGTCACCATAAAACTCCTTTTGTTTTTAAAACATTCCTAATATCACCTCTGATTTAAAAACGGTTGTGGTTAAAAAATGTTTTGTTTTTTCTCTGGACAAGTAGATTGTCATGAGGGACAAGTAGATTGGGACACCGATTTAGTCCCTTGGACAAGCAGTTTTTTTCAAAAATTTCCACACCCCTGGGTGTCATTACAAATTAAAGGCAACCCTGCGCGTCCGCTAAAGAGCAAGGCATTTTACCTGCAGGTCAGGAATGCACACAATTTTGCAAGCGTTCCCAACCGGCACAAATGTGAATCTAGCCTTAGGCAGATTCACCTTCTCTATTTGTCCTATTTAGGGTTATCTCTGAGAATGAAAGTAAGAATAGACCAAATTTCGGGTTGTCCCTAGAGCAGGAATAGAAGGGAAATCTTTCACTGAGACACTAGTTCTGGTGAGGAAAAAAAGGATTTCCCTATTTGGAAGGGTTTCCACTCACCTCACCTCCAGGCGCATGCTGCCGTGGGGGTGGGGAAAGCCTCAGGCGCATGCTGCCGTGGGGGTGGGGAAAGCCTCAGGCGCATGCTGCCGTGGGGGTGGGGAAAGCCTCAGGCGCATGCTGCCGTGGGGGTGGGGGGGAAAGCCTCAGGCGCATGCTGCCGTGGGGGTGGGGAAAGCCTCAGGCGCATGCTGCCGTGGGGGTGGGGAAAGCCTCAGGCGCATGCTGCTGTGGAGGTGGGGAAAGCCTCAGGCGCATGCTGCCGTGGAGGTGGGGAAAGCCTCAGGCGCCTATAACTGGCAGTCCACAGTGACAGCTTCCTGGCAGGATAACTCAGATGACTTCAGACTAGTATCCAAGCATCCTATCCAGCTCATCCTTAATCCTGAGCAATTCTGGATTCAATGTAGCACTAGATGCCAAGGGAGGAGAGCAGAAACTGTGTGGCCCTTGTCAGCATTTTTGGGTCTAAGGGATCTACTAAGACCTCCAGATGTCTCCTTAAAAGAACACTTCTGTACAAAACTTGATCCTTTGTTGTGGATAGAGTGTCGTTTTTTGTGTTGGATAGAGTAAATAAGAGGTAAAAGCCCCTTATTGTGGTCTATATCCCACCTGGGAAATCCACTCAATTTGTTCTGGTGGCTAAAGTCACTGTGACTAAAAGTGATGGTAAATATAAAATCGTATAGTTGTCACCATAAGAGCAAGTGGGAAGAAAACACTTCCTGTTGTGTCCCAGACTTGAAAGTAGAACAAATCTCCCAAAAACAGACAAAATATGGGAGTTAAAACACAGTCCCCACTCTACGAAAAAAAAAAAATGTTCTGGCCTCAGTGCACAGAACGAAGAAGTGAAAACAAAAAATCTATCTTCTCTCTTAAAGTGTTACTAAACCCACAACAGTAAAATCAGTCTGTATATGCAGTAAAGCATGCTGGGTATAATCACTGTGGAACCTAAGGGGTTAATCCTCCACATTGTGTAAAAAGACTGTTTGATCCTGACTTCTCTGATCCTCCCCTTCTACTGTCCCCAATCCATCTGCTGATAGAACAGTCTTGGGGGCAAGCTGCACATGCTCAGTTTGGTGTATATTATTAGAGAGTTTTCTCTTTTTCTCGGGAGTGTGCATGTGATCAGCACAGGGCCAATCAGCACTGTCCAGACAGGGGTCAGGGATCATGCAGCCGCATAGGACAATCAGGAGATTGTCCTATGTTCGGGCAGACACTGATAGAAGTCACAAGACTGCTATATACTGCTGAGGAGAAATGTTATTTAGCAATTTATATTTACTAAAATAATAGCACTTCCATGTTCTGTGTACTGTGGAAGAAAAGATATAGGGAATGCAGGGTCCTGGGTTTAGTAACACTTTAAGCCAGCTATAGACAAATCAGAATTTGTCAGGTTCAGTAGAGACCACCCAAATGTTGACACATGCATGGCCGTCTTGGTTTGAAAGAAGTCGATCTAATAATTGATTTCTGTTGAAAAGGAATGCTGGAAAATTTCATGCAATTGGCGATTGATTAGTGTATTCTGACAGTGAAGGAGTCCCGCTGTCAGAATACAATGTCCTGGAGGGGAGGATTCCTCCATCCACATCGCTTGTGTGGGTGGAGTCACTCATTTGTTTTTTTTATTTCAATAAGCCTGCTGGCTGATTGACACAAAAAAACAGTAATCTATGACCAGCTTTAGGACCCCCTTAGAGTTTGTTCACATACACAATGCAGTGGCTGGTATTTTTCCAAACTGGTTAATTGTCTTTGGAGTGTGGGAGGAAACTGGAGAACCCGGAGGAAACCCATGCAGGCACAGGGAGAACATGCAAACTCCAGGCAGGTGGTGCCGTGGTTGGGATTAGAACCAACGTCCCTAGTACTGCCAGGCGGAAGTGCTAACCATTTAGGCACTGTGCTGCCCACCTGGCCCATAACTGTGGAAGGGGAGAATGTTTGTAGTAGCTGCTGCTGGGACCGTGATCTTTCGTGCCAAGTGCCTGCATAGTGGGGGTCATTCACTTGGCATGGGTGCCATTCAGAAAATGCTTTGTATTTCTCTCAAAGAATACAAGATGTGTTCTGATTGGATAAGGTTGAGATTGTAGTATTTAGGGTAAGAGCAGCATATCCCAGACATTACGCCACCGCATGGAGCGGTGGCCATCTTTTTATACCTATATGGTTAATTTTGTATATGCAGTCCTTGTCTTTATTTTGGATCATTAAATTTATTTAAACGATATCACACCATCCTGGCTTTTTCTTTCTTGGGACCCTGCTGAGTCCTTCACTTGCAGAGTTACCTAGGGGACAGCTGAGGGGTGTGTTCCAGTGTGGAAACACACGATCCATGAGGAGAAACTTGGACGCATTGATGTATCCGGATGATGACCCTATCCGCCTAAGACTTGCTTCGCTTGGATATCGGGATACCATCTATATGCATATGTGAATTATGCATCTGGTGAGTGCATAATTTTACTACTCTGATCACCGGAAGACGCACGTGTTTCAAGTCACCATTGATTTTTTGAGGACTTTTTTTGCTTCACATGCACAGTTCTTTGCACATTGTCATTACTAACATTTGTATGTTTAATAGTTTATATTTAGCGCTGCGCCCTTTCTTATAAGTATCACAATGCTGCCTATCCACCTCATCCAATCAGAGAATGCTTTGTATTTCTCTCAAAGAATACAAGATGTGTTCTGATTGGATAAGGTTGAGATTGTGATATCACAATGCTGCCTATCCACCTCATCCAATCAGAGAATGCTTTGCACTTGCTGATAAACATACAAGGTGTTGTCTAAATGGGCTCTCTGAGTGACCCCCGTGTTCTCTAAGAAGCAGGGCAGACACCCAGCATTGGACGTGGAAGACAGTGAGGATCACACCAGGTGTAGCGGGAACATGCATTCCTGACCTTTCTGGAGGGACACACAGGGTAACCCGTTAACTTGAATCTATGACGCACACGCCAAACAAATTCCTGCACCTTTTCCTCTAGGGAGCGTTGTGTCTGTTGAGTTTGGGGTACAATTAAGGATTAATAACACCACCATAAAATCATGACACGTTATTCACATGTTCCGGGAAGTGCAGGTGTGAATGGCGCCTCGACTGCAGTAGCAGTGATTTCATGGGGATTGGCCGGCTATGGCTCATACATATGTACATTGGTCCAAACTGGATCAATATATCCATGCAATAAAATCCAACACCTGGAGTTCAGCTTTAAGGTTCGAAAATGAAAGCTAGAAGCTGATTGGCTGCCATGTACAAGGCTCCAGACTGTGTAAATCCCTGGTATGTATCCGCAGATGTAACATGTCAGGTATGAGCACACAGGCTCAGTGCTCGGGGGTGGGGAGGTCACTTGCCTGGCTCCTCCGGGTCTCCAGGTTCAGGGCCTGAGCCCAGGCTGCGCTCCACATCTCTCCTATGGAAGGGAAGCGGTACAGAGCACACAGCAGGGTCCGGGCACCGGCGGCTGGGGAGCGCCGAGACCTCCGAGTCATCTGCACCAACCAGGCCAGCACTGTCAGCACCGACACCGCGAAGATCAGCAGCTGGGTGACGAAGCCCAGTGTCACCCCATCGGGGACCGGAGAGCCGGGCGGAGGGGGCTGATCACTCTCCATCCCTCACCTCAGGGGGAAGGCCGGCCTAGGTGACCGAGGAGACCACCGTACACGGAGCTCCGTCCGCTGCACCTGTCTGTGCCCTGATCTGTTCACATGTGTTCAGGATTGACGTCCTCACACAACCCTCCCCCCCTCATGATGAGGATGATGTACAACCACTGATTTCCATCCGGTCCTACCGGGACCTGCCCAACACTGGACCTGTCCTATATCCTCCTCCTCAGTATTATGCCTTCATCCTCAGTACTATGGCCTCATCATCATCCTCTGTCCTATATCCTCCTCTCAGTATTATGCCTTCATCCTCAGTACTATGGCCTCATCATCAGAATTGTCCTCATCATCATCCTCTGTCCTATATCCTCCTCCTCCTCAGTATTATGCCTTTATCCTCAGTACTATGGCCTCATCATCTTCAGAATTATGTCCTCATCATCCTCTGTCCTATATCCTCTGTCCTCATCCTCTGTCCTATATCCTCTTTCTCAGTATTATGCCTTCATTCTCAGTACTATGGCCTAATCATCCTCAGAATTATGTCCTCATCATCATCTTTAAAATTATGTCATCATCCTCTGTCCTATATCCTCCTCAGTATTATGCCTTCATCCTCAGTACTATGGCCTCATCATCATCCTCTGTCCTATATCCTCCTCCTCAGAATTATGTCATCAAAATTATGTCATCATCCTCTGTCCTATATCCTCATCTTCCTCCTCAGAATTCCTCCTCATCCTCTGTGCTATATCCTCCTCCTCAATATTATGCCATCATCCTCAGAATTATGTCCTCATCATCCTCTGTCCTATATCCTCCTCCTCAGTATTATGCCTTCATCCTCAGTACTGTGGCCTCATCATCCTCAGAATTATGTCCTCATCATCCTCTGTCCTATGCCCTCCTCATTATCTTCAGTACTCTGTCCTCATCATCATCCTCAGAATTATGCCCTCATCATCCTCAGTACTCTGTCATCATCATCCTCAGTACTATTTCCTCATCATCCTCAGTATTATGTCCTCGTCATCCTCAGTAATATGTCCTCATTATCCTCAAAACTATGTCCTCATCATCCTCCTCAGTACTATGTCCACATAATCATCCCCAGTATTATGTCTTCCTCTTTATCCTCAGTATTATGTCCTTATCATCATCCTTAAAACTATGTCCTAATCATCATCCTCAGCAATATATTCTTATTATCATTCTCAGTATTATGTCCTTAACATCATCCTCAGTATTGTGTCATCATCCTCAGAATTACAGTATATCCTCATCATCATCCTCAGTACTATGCCCTCCTCCTCAATAGTATACAATCATCATGAGTATTATGTTCTCATCATAATCCTCAGTACTATGTTATGATCATCATTGTCAGTATTTGGTCCCAAACATGAGGTCCTCATTCTCAGAATATATCCTCATCATCATCTTCAGTATTATGTCATCCTTAGTAAATATGCTGTCATCCTCATCACCAGTTTTTATGTTCTTATCATCATTCTCAAAAATGTGTCCTTCAACAACTGCTAAAGAATTAGCAGAACAAGACAAGAATGACAGGGAAAAGCTGTGCAATGTGGTATACATCATATTAACACAAATGGTGACCCCATTCCAATAAATTCCATCATCTACAGTCTACACCAACACACCTTCCTTATCTATAATTATTTGGAATATTTGGTAGTCACAAGGGATGGAGTTTGGGCTGAGCATCAGTTCTGCTTCCTAGGGACAGTCCCTGGTTTCTAGAGTTTGTCTCCAGCACACATTCACCCTTGGTGATTCTGTGGAAGTGGCTAAAAGGGTGTTGTCAACGTTAGTGTCTCTAGATTTCATTTTGGAAATCTGGTAAACTTAAGCCTAGTACACACCAATGAGAAAATTGGACAACCAATCGTCTCATTTTTCATGAAAGTGCAAATCATGTAGTCGGAATGGTACTGACTTGAAAGAAAATGTCACGTACCTGATGGGAGACTGAAATGATGAGGTCGGCCTCACTAGCTAGTGTCACTAGCCCTGACCCCACTGGAGTTGGAACAGAGGGAGACTAGGACCCAGGGGAACAAGAGCGCCAGTAGTTGTTGTTTGCAGCTCTTGCAGATGATGACCTTGGAAGACTGATGATCCTCTGATTCAGGCACAGTAGTAACAAGCGGAGCAGGTCTTGTAGATTGCCAGGCGTGCACCAGAGCAAGGCAGGTTGTGAGGGTAAGAAACAGGAGCACTGTCATGGGAATAGCCAGGGTCATCAACAGTGGGGCAGCACGGTACAGAATCAGAAGGAAAGCCATGGTCAGGAGCAGAGCCGAAGTCAGGAACCAGTATCAATCAGGAGAGCAATCAGAGTCAGGTGAGGAACAAGCTGGGTGAGCAACAAAGGAATCACACAGGAACAAGCAGGACACAGGGGAGCTGAAGACCAGTCAGCACTCAACATGGGCAGAGACACTCTTTAAATAGGCCGTCTGGTGCCAATCTTCGCCGTGCGTGATCGCGCATTTCTGCGCACATGTGCACAACCGGTACTTCTTTTCCGGGAATTCCTATGCGCATTTCTGATCGCAATTCATCTTGCCGGAAATCCCTTACAGAAAATTCTTGGCCAACAAAGACAAACATAGGCAAACATAGCTACATACTAGTGTAATAGAAGAAGTGTAGGATCGTTCTATGCTTATGTGTGTTTTTTCTGTTCGATTATTTCCATATGATATCTGTACACATTAAACAATAAATCAGAAATTGTGTTCACATACAATAAAAAAAAATTCTAGCTTGCACCCTCTGTTTTTGTCATCCGAAAAGTCAGAAGCGGCTGTTAATAGCACTATACTATCAATTAGAAATTTATTTTATCGTGTGTATGGCCCATTAGCTTGTGTTTAAGGGGAATTCAACTTATTCATGAAAATGGTGAACACATGTGGCGTGTGTTAGGCTTGTTTCACATGAGTTTAAGCTTGTATAAGGGCAGTGTGAACAGCAAGCTTTTATGATATTTTCAGCAAGCATTTGTAAAGCTTTCGGCAATATTTAAGCAGCTTTCTCTAACCCTTTAAAGCACCCTTCAGCTCCTTTTGAAAATGTTAAACATAAATCTTAATGGTGCTGCTGATTGCAACTTCAAACAAGCTGCTAGCATGCTTTCAACAAGCTTCAGGTGCTGTTGAAGCCTGCTAGCAGCTTGTCTAAAGTGGTAATCAGAACTCCCATTAGGATCTGTGTTCAGCATTTACAAACTGTAGCTGAATGGTACTTTAAAAGCTTCAACAAAACCTACAGAAAGCTCTGCAAATGCCTAGTAAAAGCTTGCTGTTCACACTGCTGTTATACAAGCTGAAGCCTGTGTGAAAAGGCTTCACTTAAGGTACTCTGCCATCTCATTTAAAAGGAATGGGCTGCCTTAGCACAGTGTGTTTTGATGCTTGATAATGTGTTGTATTAGTGTAATGAATAGTGTGAATGGGTCCAGAACATTTGCCATCATATGTAAAAAAAGCTTCAAAAATAGGGAGGGAATACGGCATAATTTTTTTCTTATAAGATAATTATCGCATGTTGGGAATGGGTGCAATGAAGCAAGAGAAACATGCTGCTCTTTCGCATATGCACAAGGGTGGCATTCATTCTTATGCACATGAAGCCACATGTGAAGCCACACATGAAACCACGTGGTGCCACGTCCCCATGGGAGTCTGTGTGGTGTACTTTTCATAAGGGGTCCTGGATGTCTATGAAATGAATGGGCTGCCACACTCACAGAATGCAGGTTGCACAAATCTGAACAGAGCCTTAGCTCATGCAACAAATCTCTACATAAACATAAACAAGAAAGGAATGAATAGAACTCCAGTCTCAAATAGTATTACAAAGTATACAAAATGTTACTTTATTCAGCTAAATAGAAAATGTTTGTATCATTTTAATTTATACAGAGAACATCTAAATGTAAACACACTGCTCAATATTAAAACTATCTGTTTTTTTTTTTAAATACACCATTTGTAGAATAAATAGTGGTTTAGGATCAATTGCACCTATACTATTATTCAGTAACTTCTGCTGTTGTTATTTAGCCTATCTGAAATGTTGTCTTAGGGCGGGTTCACACTGCCCTAGTGCTTTGCCCAGTGCAGTGCTTTGGACAAAGTGCAGCTAATCTGTGGTTTTTGTGCGGTCCCGCTGCACTTTCCCATAGACATCTATGATGTTCTACTGTAGATGCAGCAGTTTTGGTGCACTGTCTGAAACCACACCATATCCACAGGACCTCACAGAAGTCTATGAGAAAGGATTAGCTGCACTTTAGCAAAAGCGCAGCGGGACAGTGTGAAGCTGCCCTTATTGTATTTACATGCTTAATGTCTCAGGGCAGTAACAGAATATCAGTTTATAGAATATAGGTGTCCGTTTGTGAACCAGAGGTAATAGATCGCTGCTCAGTTCTCCGGCATTCTCGGAGAACAAAGTTCTCCTGTGAATGCAGTTTATGAAGCAGTTCTCCGAACGAAGGGAGAACGGCTTCCAAACGCTGGATAACGGTCTACAAACTCTGAAAAACGGCTCATTTTACTATAATCTCTCCAGATTATAGTAAAAGACCAGTTTACTAAGCAGAGGTAAATTATCTCTGCTTAGTTTTCGGTCCCTCTGATTCTCCAGCTCTGGGCTGGAGAATCTGGACGGAGAACACAGATCTCCAGAGAAGGGCTGACAGGATCTCCTAAGTGTTATAAACTGTGAATGACCAGAGAATAGCTGAGATCTGTTGAATCGCAGCTATTCTCTGTGTCATAAAAGGACACCATAATATGGGTGGCCACTTTTAGGTCATTACATACAATGCAGGACCATCAGCCATGTCACATTCTAATTACATTGCCGCTAATCCTGCATTGTACATTAAACACTAGGATGTCCACAAAACATTCATCTGGTTCAAGAGAGAAGCCGTTTGTGGGTCTGTTCCAGTTGAACAAATCTGTTGACACTGTATGGCAGGGGCAGACTGACAACTCATGGGGCCCCAGGGCAATAGGGGATCATGGGGCCCCTGTGTCCTTGCCCAAACTCAAAAAAGCCTATGTAAAAGGTACCAGAGGCATCTCATGGGGCCTCCTACTGACCCTGGGCCCTCAAGCAGTGCCCAAGTTTCCAAATGGTCAGTCCGCCCCTGCTGTATGGTCTATTCAACATAAAAAGGGAGCTGTACCAGGATTCTACCTCTGACTTCGGTATGTCTGCCCCACTGGAGGTATTGACCATTGATTTTCTTACACTTGACAAGACAAATTCCATCATATTCTAGTTATGGCGGAATGCTTTACAAAGTGTACAGTGGCAGTCCTGACCTGCCACTAGACCATCACCCAGTTGATGTGGAAGCACTTCTGACTTCCTTATAGAAGATACAATCTGACCAGGGATCCTGTTTCTAAAGCAAATTCTTCCAAAACAGTTCCAGGCACTATGCATTAAAAAGTCACACACTTCCCTGTACCATCCCCAGGGTTCACTCACTTGGCTTGTGAGAAATAAAGGAAGTGGACCATTTACTTTCTGAAGTGGCCTGGAAATACAACCATAGATTGCATTCCATGGGAAGCCACTCACCCTACCCATACCATACTATTTTTTGCTGTACTCTTGAGTGGCCAACAGACCTTTGGCTCACAGTTCTCACAGAACTGGAGCACGTCCCTATTTCCTGAATTCTGTAATGGAAATGGCACCTGGTTGAAGTCCAACAGTTCATTGAAGACCATTCATGGTCGAAGTGATGGGAGTCAGAAGAATCAGGCTTTAACCTTCAACTTTGGGACGGAGCACTAGTCTATGGCAAAGGTGCATACCAGCAAGGAAAATTGCAAACAACATGGAGAGGAGTCTCTGAAGTACTCCTACAACAGACTATTCCAACTGTACCTGTCTATGATATCCAAGAACCACAGACAGTTCTATGAAGGGTTTGGAAGAACCTGTCTGAGATTGTGAGCCACAAACAGCTACCAGAGCTTTAATGGTGGCTACCTCCTGCTCTTCCACCATTATCTCCCAGTCCCCCAGTAGAAATCATGGATCTGGACACTGTTACACAGCCCACTGGTCACCCAGCTCAGGTCTATACTGATGTACAGCCCTCTATCCAATGATGCGTCTGAACCCCTGGTTCACACCTGTGTGGGTTTGCAGCCCATGTTTGCGCTGTCATGGCAGGATGTTCAATTGAATGGGCTGCAGTGTCTGTGTTTCCCACAAAAAAAAAGGCGCTTGAATCTTTTTAAAACGCTGCCACAGAGAAATTTCTATACAACACTATGCCTATGATGTGTCCATAGTCCTGTAGTCAGATTCACCTGCTGCTCTTTAATAAACTTCATCTTACACTTACCCCCTGTCTACTAATTTGGCCGATTGTGCGTCCGGTTACACCTTCTTGCTACTTTCTGTCCAGCGTACATTTCTATAGGCCCATCATTACAATAAGCTGCCTTGCAGACCAATAGAAATATTTTTCTATGGACAACTAACTGTATTAATATACCAGTCTGTTTTAGGTCATTGCATGAGAGATACTGTTACTATCTGAAGGTGCAAACTCAGTCTGCAAAACATGTCAAAGTTTATCCATATGTATCTTTTCCTGATAGAAACACTGTTATTTCTATACTCAAACAGCAAGTATTATTATCCTATTATTACTCTAACACTGTTTGATGGCTGAACATTTAGCTTTTTGCTAAAGGACATATGCATTGGCAAATATGAAATGAATTTTAAAAGTACCACTACCAAGAGCAATAGTTATATACATGAAGAAGGACATTTTGAGGGTATCTTTTTGCAGGTATTACAAAACAAAAACATGCTGGCCAGACTGTTTGACTGACAGGACTCTGTGAAAGGACCTTGAAAATCTATATGTTCACCTTGATAAGTGGTTTTTACACTCCATACAGTATATAAGGATAATTGTATACTACTACTAATGGTTGGGGGTTATCATATAAGGTAGGCTGTAACACTGAGACAGGGAACAAAATGTTGTTCATCTGGGCAATGTGTTTGATCCTACACACGTGCAGTGCACATTGTACTCTATTTACACAATGGGAATTAGATGCAGGCATAATGTTATTTCAGTGCACATGCATAGGAGTTATCAGTGGCCACCCAGTGACCAAATAAGAAAGATATTGGTCCTGAAGAAAAGCATAGACCTATCATTGCTGGAAGAAAGCATAGACCTATCATTGCTGGAAGAATGCATAGACCTATCATTGCTGGAAGAATGCATAGACCCATCATTGCTGAAGGAGAGCATAGACCTATCATTGCTGGAAGAATGCATAGACCCATCATTACTGGAGGAAAGCATAGACCCATCATTGCTGGAAGAAAGAATAGACCCATCATTGCTGGAGGAGAGCATAGACTCATCATTGCTGGAAGAAAGCATAGACCCATCATTGCTGGAAGAAAGCATAGACCCATCATTGCTGGAGGAAAGCATAGACCCATCATTGCCGGAGGAAAACATAGACCCATCATTGCTGGAAGAAAGCATAGACCCATCATTGCTGAAGGAGAGCATAGGCCCATCATTGCTGGAGGAGAGCATAGACCCATCATTGCTGGAGGAAAGCACAGACCCATCATTGCTGGAAGAAAGCATAGACCCATCATTGCTGAAGGAGAGCATAGACCCATCATTGCTGGAAGAAAGCATAGACCCATCATTGCTGAAGGAGAGCATAGGCCCATCATTGCTGGAGGAGAGCATAGACCCATCATTGCTGGAGGAAAGCACAGACCCATCATTGCTGGAAGAAAGCATAGACCCATCATTGCTGAAGGAGAGCGTAGACCCATCATTGCTGGAAGAAAGCATAGACCCATCATTGCTGAAGGAGAGCATAGACCCATCATTGCTGGAAGAAAGCATAGACCCATCATTGCTGGAAGAAAGCATAGACCCATCATTGCTGGAAGAAAGCATAGACCCATCATTGCTGAAGGAGAGCATAGACCCATCATTGCTGGAAGAAAGCATAGACCCATCATTGCTGAAGGAGAGCATAGGCCCATCATTGCTGGAGGAAAGCATAGACCCATCATTGCTGGAGGAAAGCACATACCCATCATTGCTGGAAGAAAGCATAGACCCATCATTGCTGGAGGAAAGCATAAACCCATCATTGCTGGAAGAGGAAAAACTGGGAAGTAAGAAACATTCTTGCACATTATGAAGAAGATAGATCACCAACTTTTAAACTTCCATGTTACCTTCTAACCTCCAACCTTCAAGGGTAGACCAGGGATATTGAATTAAAATTCAAGGAGGTCCGGTCACTAAAACTTTCTTCTGGCCTGGGTCCAAATCTCAGGTTTGGACTATGACATCAGAGTGCCCCCTTACATCAGATGTCCCCATTAGAGTGCTCCATTACATAAGGTTCCCAATCACAGTGACACCTTATATTAGGTTCAACATCACAGTGACACCTTACATAGGGTGTGCCCATCAGAGTGCCCCCTTACATTACGTGTATACACACTCCTTTGATACGTTGCAACTGTGGGGGAAAGAATGCCTTGACCACCTATGATTGGTTCAGTATAGTGATAGCTTTCTGGCAGGATGGCTCAGGTGGGTTTGGATCCAAACATGCCTGAGCTTATGACTTGTCACTGCGGTCTATGTGTTGGACAATGTTACTCAATGGGCCTGATGTGAACAAGTAGTTTGGCTCAGACCTTTGTGACCTGTGTGTAGGCAGCCTATTCATTCCAATGGGCTCCCTTACCAGCAGAAACCTGGGGAAAAGTCCCTGACCCTCTTTTTTTAAGGCTACATTCACACTTAGCAGGCATTTTTTTAAGGTGTTTTTGAGTGGGTTTTTTTAAGCAGATTTAAAAATATTATAGGCCTTTTTTTCAGGTGTTTCTCAATTAAAAGGTGTGGAGTGCTGCTGAAAACAGGGTGGAGAGCTGCTGTTTGAGCAAAAAATTGTGCAAACAAGATGCTTCAAAAATCGCTCATGTCACATTTTTGAAGGCGTTTCCATTCAAGTCTATGGGGACAAGAATGCTCAAATCTGCCTAAAAAGTAACTCATACAATTTTTTGAGCAACAGGCATTTTGCTACAGACGGCAGAACGCTAAAATGTGAATAGGGGTCATTGAAATGAATAAGATTTTGCTTGCTGAGTGTTTCTGAGCGTCAAAATAAAAAACAATCAAGTGTGAACGGGGTTTAGATTGCGTTGCACTGATTCTACGTGCGTTCCCACTCTGCAGTAATGTGAACCTGGCCTAACTACAGGCGGCACTAGGGAAAACCAAGTGTAACACGTTAGACTCAGCTCACTGATCTTAGTGGGTTGTTCAGTCATGGCCGGGGCTCTTTAAATGTCATTCTAGGAGTCAGGTGCAGAAAACAGGCGCACACAGCGCATGCGCATGTAAACACAGGGAAGCGCACGGGAACGAGCACGCATGTCGGGGGTTCCTTCAGTCGTCATGTACGCAAACCCGGCCAGGAACACGTGTGCGCTGACGACGCTGGAAGCTAAGGAGAGGGCGGAAGTAGGAAGAGAATGATGTGATGTGTACATACAGAGTGAGAGCAGGAAGAGCCGTGTGTTCTGTGGCTTCTCACCATGGCTATAGTGCCGCTGCTTGTCAATGTGGCCGGCTCTGTACTGGGCGGCCTGGCCACCGCCGTCCTCATCCCCGCCTTCAAGGAGCACTTCATCTCCGCTAAACTGTATGGGGTGGACATGAACAAGTCCAGCAGAGAGCCGGTGTAAGTCTATGGGACCCCCGTGTACACTGATAGCCAGCACTGCCAAGAGTCATCCGTGCGCTGTACTGGAGCCAGCAATACACAGGCACTCTGCAGTCCATCTCTGTATTCCAGCCGGACATACATGTTGGTTTACAGCACAATTTCTAAAAACATTTTAATTCATGATTGGTTCATATTACAGCGCTAATTACACTCATGGTATTTAACCCCTTGCCTACCGGGCATTTTTACCCCCTTCCTGCCCAGGCCAATTTTCAGCTTTCTGTGCTGCCGCACTTTGACAATTGCGCGGTCATGCAACACTGTACACATATGAGATTTTTATCATTTTTTCACACAAATAGAGCTTTCTTTTGGTGACCTGTAATCCCTGCTGTGTTTTTTATATTTTGCACTATAGATGAAAAACGACTGAAAATGTAAAAAAAAAAAAAAAAAAGATTTTCTTTTGTTTTTATTATAAAATTTTGCAAATTGGTAATTTTTCTCTTTCACCGATGTGCACTGATGAGGAGGAACTGTGACAGCATGAGAAAAGTATTGCTGATAACCGCAAGTGTATTTACATGGTGATCAGCTGTGATTGGACACAGTTGATCACGTGATAAAAGGATGCTGTGATTGGCCTTTTACTGAGTCATGTGATCAGCTGTGTCCAAAGGACAGGCAATCAGACAGCTCTGGGTTCATGCCACTGAGGGCGCATTCTGGGAGGACGTCACATGACATCCAGAACTGGACAACCGCACTGTAGCTGTCAGTCGGCTATAGCGCGGTCAAGAAGATGTTAAAGTGGATCTTTAGTCAGAAAAATTAAGTCCTGCTAGATCACTTCAGGCTGGCCCACTTTGCAGGTATAGCTATGTAAAACATTAAAAATGCCTACACTGTTTAAAATCTAGTAATACACTCTTACCTTGCTCTGCACATGCTCAGTTGCTTCCCATTTTTAGGCACAGACATATTTAGATTGTAAGCTCCAAGGAGCAGGGCCCTCCTAACCCTCTTGTATTGAACTGTATTGTCTCCCTTTTTATTGTAAAGTGCTAAGCAAACTGTTGGCGCGATATAAATCCTGTATAATAATCATAATTTATAGAGGCTGATCTGCATAGAGCCTTAAAGCAGAATTAAACCCTCCTATCCTTTACAGCCAAGGATGCTGCTTCTGTTTGATCTGCAGCTGCCATGATGCTGCACATGTGATCAGTTATGACACTAGACATTTGATGGTTTGCCTGAGGAGACAGCACATGTGACAGCAATCCCAGCATTCCAAGAATGTAAATATTGTTTTAAACTTAGATCGATGGGTTTAGTTCCGGTTTATGACCTACTGCTGCTCAGGAGCTCTGGGCCTCAGAGAAATGACCGCCTCCAGCAAGAAGCAGGAAAAATGCTGGCGGCAATTTAAGTCACACACTAATATTAGTAGCAGAATTATTAATGTGGAGTGTATGTTCTTTTTAACATTATTTTTTATCACGTTGTCATAGGTAAAGTTCCGCTGTAACCCCTTCATGACAGAATGTAAATAAATCCTAATGCTTGCAACTTTTCACCTGTGTTAGTAAAACAGTACATATTGCAATCACTTGGTGTATCTAGGTGGATTATACAGTTTTTTGGGGTTCTTTTGTTTTTCAGGACAAATTGGGATTTCCTTTGTTGGTAAATAGGTAATAGATATTTCCTGACTTTGTTTTTTAAAAAAGAAAACTGGCACAAAATAGCAAATCACTTTTTTTTTTTTTCTAATTGTGAAATTTAGCTGTATATTTTTGCTATTACCATAATCTACCAATAAAGAACTAAAAAGAAAAAAAAAATTCTCCAGCTCCTGGTGATCACAGCGATACCACATATATTATTTGTTGTTTGTACTCATAAGGCCTAGAATAAATGGTGCGCAATTTGCTTTAATGGCCGCTGTCAGTGTTGTGATCAGCTACATACGGTATACAGTGCTGCATTCCGGCAGTGGTATGGGGACTTCCCATCCTCGCATAAAATCAAGTCAAGCTAGGTGCTGCTCAGCCATGTACAGGAAGCCTTGTATTTTTATGAATTAATACAAGGCTTCAACTGATTACCTGAAGTGAAGAGGCAGGCAGATGTCATGTTTTTAACCTCAGCCAATCGGAGATAATGGCTCCAGCTGTTGTGTCTGAGCTAATGAGGAGTGAGAGACCCAGGAGAGCTTCTGCTTTCGAGCACATTGCTGGATCAGGATTGGGCTCAGGTAAGTATTGGGGGGGGGAGCTGCGTACTGAAGATTTTTTTTTTACCTTCATGCATAGAATACATGAAGGTAAAAATCCTTCAGCCTTTAGATCCACTTGAAGCTTTCCTGATTGACTCACTCCTTGGTTGTGTCGTTGGACCCCACCTGGAAGAAGGGGGGCAAGCCTGTAAAGTTACTTTAGGTGCATACTGTAATAAGAAGTGTTAGTCGCAGGGTGTTGTCCAGGACTGTGGTCCATCTGCGAGTGAAACCTTGACCCCAAAGACCCCTTACAGTTGTATTTTTTTTTTTTTTTATCAGGTATTAGTAGATGAAGTCTACATATTATGTTACAGTAGAATTAAATGTTCATTAAGAAAAAACAAAAACTCCTCCAGCTCTGCTTGAATCATTTATGTACTGTAGTAATATTACACCAGTTTGCTCCGAACATGTACGTTAGCAGTACCTGGATGTGTTATTGTCTCTTTGCTGCACTTCTTCACATTTTGATCTGCGAGTGCACACTTTTTAACAGTCATGTTGCTGGCCCAGGAGTGTTGTCAGAACAGAGCTGCTGTCAATCACTGCCATTGAGGGTGGAGCAGAGGATGGCTTGGTGCTCAGGTTTTGGTGCTGCCAGTGCATGAGCTCAGCTGGGTGTTCATGTAAGGGGGCTACACTGGGGCTTCAGGGAGACCTTGAATGGCAGCTTAGCCACACTATAGGAGGAAGTACAGAAGGCATCAGTTTGGATAGAAGATTCTGCTAAAAAGAGGTTGCATCAGCAATGTGAAAAGTATGGGAATTATGCTGTGTGTTTTTTTTTTTTTTTTTTTTTTTTTTTTGACGTTTTAATGATACTTTAAGTAACTTTTTCATTGTTTTGTATCCACTGCAATAAACTAATGTGTATGTTTGTTTTTGTTTCTATAGCCCAGAGTCTCAAGGAGTAATCAGCGGGGCAGTGTTTCTTCTTATCCTTTTTTTCTTCATTCCTGTTCCCTTCTTGAGCTGTTTCCTTGAAGAACAGTGTAGAGAATTCCCACACCATGAGGTAGTTGTTTTATTCCACCTTCATATACAAATTGCTTTTCTGTATGTTAAAGGGGATGTGTAGCTGAAAGCAACCAATCAAAATTAATCAGGGTGGATAAAAATGAATGATTTAAAAAAAAAAAAAAAAAAAAAATCTGATTTTTTTTTATTTAAATCGGATTTATTTTATTTAAATCAGATTTTTTAAATAAAATGCTTTTTGAGGAAAATATATTACCATCCAAAGGTTATTCCATCATGAAATAAAGATTAGTTTTTTAATTATGTAGAATAAGGCTGTATATGTTTAATTTTTTTGGTAAATAAATTCCATGAATCCATTCACAATGTCATGCTCTTCCAGAGGTTTTTGTAAGATTATTGGGCAGTTTCTCTGCCTACAAGATATTATCACAGATGCTTGGTTTACTTTTGCAGTTCTCAAAACTGAATTTTACTCAGCGGAGATCACATGCCTCTTCTTCACAGCAAAAATGTTATAACATGAACAGAGTTAAGAAAAAGCCCTTAATCCTAACTTCTACAAACCTATAAATACAGAATCAACCCCTTCAGGGCTAAGTTTCAAGAAGTTCAGTGAATAGAATAGAAACAATATTTTTCTGATTGTTTGGAGTGGAATAGATCTGCACAAGAAGAAAGTGAAACTAAGTGTGAGGAGGAAGGGGCTGACAGTCTAAGTTTCTTAAAATATATATATTTTGTTTAGCCAAATTAGTTATCAAACATGGATGTTTGTTTAAGCAAATACCATATGCTGGAATGTTATTGTTTCAGTTGAATAAATCTATTTAAATTGTTATTAAGGTAACGATTATTTTTCTCCTTCCTAAGTACAACAGAAAAGTTGTCCAAATATGAATGATTAACCTATTAAACTGGGGATAAAAAAACTAATATGGAAAGTTATTCTAAAAATCTTTATCTACTTGCATATTAAAGTTATATCAGCAAGAATTAGTCTATGTAGAAAACTAGGATTTAAATCAAGCCTTACTGACTAGTGATTTAAATCATGATTTTAAATCAGTTTGATTTAAATCAAATCCACCCTGGAATTATTTATTGTGGCTCACAGCAAATTTCAGTTTGTTTGCAGTCACTGACTACACATAGTAATATTGAATCAACCTGTATGTGTGGGTTGATCTTCTCCCCGCACCCACTGTCAAAATTTGAAAGATCGAGGCCATTCGGGGCTTCGCCCACACGACTGCATCATTCATTCACAGAGTTATGTGAATGGATAGACTACAAGTACTGACAGCCTTTGCAGGTGACAGCTTGTAATTCTCAATGATCTACAAAGGCGCTGGTGAGCATCCTCGTAGTTCATTGATTCTTCCTGGACTAAAGTAACTTCCTGCCCATGTCAGAGGTACGGGCATACAGCTACACTGACAGTCTGCAGTAGCCTGACAATGCACCTACGATCTGTTGATTGTGGGTGCAATGCTTTCCAGGTTCCTAATTAAAAAAAATAGTAAATGCATATATTTTTACCTGCACAAAATGTGCATTTTTTTAAGGTGAACTTGTACTTTAACCACTTAAAGTTTAAGCAATGTTGGATGTAAAGTACCTGAGGATGCAGTGAAACATGCATTTGTAAAAGTCTTATTGTTATGTGATATGTATTTGAGATGTAGAGATGGATCTCAGCTTTGTGCGAGAACAGTGGATGCTCACTCTCACTAAGTTGCAGGTAGAGCTCTATAAACAGCAAGTTTGTCGTCCCTAATGATTGAGCTCTAGCTGTGACTCTGCAGTGGTAGTGTGACAGACACTACAAATATGACAGAGTAGCCTCTAATGTGAGTGTTCTATATTTAGATTTTATTTCCTGCATAACTTCACCTTTTTCTATTTACATTTTTTTTTTACTTCTAGTTTGTTGCTCTTATTGGCTCATTACTTGCCATTTGCTGTATGATCTTTCTGGGTTTTGCGGATGATGTCTTGAACTTGCGCTGGCGACACAAGTTGCTGCTGCCCACTGCAGCCTCGCTGCCACTTCTCATGGTCTACTTTATCACATTCGGCAATACTACCATAGTGGTACCCAAGCCATTCAGACCTCTTCTGGGGCTTCATGTGGATCTTGGTGAGTAGACTTTTTACTGTTGAAGTGTAGTAGTGCTCTGGCAATAAAAGAAATAGCATGCATAGAGAACACCAAGAATAGTATAGTGTACTGATCCTGACAGTCTCCTGAACATCTAGTTTTTGGATTTAAAGCTAGTGCGTGTGAGGCCACTGAATATACTTTTTTTTTTTTTTTTTTGGGAAAATTCCATGTATGAATCACCCCCACAAACATTGGATTACTGTATCACAAACCAAAAAAAATATAAGAACTGCATTTGCTCAAAAACTACCACCTATGCTGGTGGGGTGGGTTTCCCCAAACATTTATAGTAATCCCAAAAATAAGAGTAATATATTTGAAAATGTATCTAATACATTTTACTAATATTAAATATCCTAATAGAAATATCTGTGTATTTTCCCTCCCCATGACCTGCAATTTTAAAATGGACAATTGTCATAATTCTCCTGGGAGACTTGCATCAGTGGTCTGTTTACCCCTTATACACTCACTGGCCTCTTTATTAGGTACACCTGTTCAATTGTTTGGTAACACAGATTGCAAATTGGCCAATCACATGGCAGAAACATAATGCATTTAGGCATGTAGATGTGGTGAAGACAACTTTCTGAAGTTAAAACCGAGCATCAGGATGGGGAAGAAAGGGGATTTAACTGACTGTGAACTTGGCATGGTTGTTGGTGCCAGACGGGCTGGTCTGAGTATTTCAAAAACTGCTGATCTACTGAGATTTTCACACACAACCATCTCAAGGGTTTACAGAGAGTGGTTCAAAAAAGAGAAAATATCCAGTGAGCCGCAGTTGTGTGGATGGAAATGCCTTGCTGATGTCAAAGGATAATGGGAAGACAGGTTTGAGATGATAGGCAACAATAACGCAAATAACCACTCATTACAACCAGGGTATGCAGAATACCATCTCTGAACGCACAACACGTTGAACCTTGAAGCAGATGGGCTACAGCAGCAGAAGACCAATCCGGGTGCCACGCCTCTCAGCTAAGAACAGGAAACTGAGGCTACAATTTGCACAGGCTCACCAAAATTGGACAATAGAAGATTGGAAAAAACGTCACCTAGCCTGATAAGTCTTGATTTCAGCTGCAACATTCAGATGGTAGGGTCAGAATGTGGCGTAAACAACATTAAAGCATGGATCAATCCTGCCTTGTAATAATGGTTCAGGCTGGTGGTGTAATGGTGTGGGGATTATTTTCTTGGCACACTTTGGCCCCCTTTAGTACCAATGGATCATCATTTAAACGCCATGGCCTACTTGAGTATTGTTGTTGACCATGTCCATCCCTTTATGATTACAGTGTACCTATACTCTGATGGCCACTTCCAGCAGGATAATGCACCAAATCATCTCAAACTGGTTTCTTGAACATGACCATGAGTTCATGGTATTCCAATGGCCTCCACAGTCAACAGATCTCAATCCAATAGAGCACCTTTGGGATATGGTGGAATGGGAGATTCGCAGTATGGATGTGCAGCCGGCAAATCTGCAGCAACTGCCTGATGCTATCATGTCCATATGGACCAAAGTCTCTGAGGAATGTTTCCAACACCTTGTTGAATCTATGCAAAGAATTAAGACCGTTCTGAAACCAACTAGCAAGGTGTACCTAATAATGAAGTGGCCGGTGAGTGTAGATATCGGGATAGCTGTATAAATCTCACCAGGACCTGATTGGTTAACTTTGGATCCTTCACTATCTAGATCTATATATTTACTCCAGGTATCTATTTTTAAACTTTATTTAAAGGGTAAATTCACCTTTCGTAACCTGTTACATCCATATTCAGAATGTAACATGTTACGAACGGATCGCACTGCACCCCCCCCCCCCCCCCCCCCCCCCCCCAATCCCGATCGCCATTGTGACAACTAGCAGGGAGATCTCCTCCCTGCTAGCTGTCACAATTTTAAAAAAAATGCTGTCATGCGGGGCTCCGCCTGCCCAGCCACGTCACTCATTCACGGTATGCTCTGAATGAGAAAACTATGGCTGTCAAGCACTGTCGGCTTGTAGTTTTCAATGAACTACCATGGTGCTACACAGCGCTGTAGTAGCTCATTAGGCCTTCCTGTCAGTATCTACTTGCTTATACGGGATGTACGAGCAAGCAGATACACTGACAGGTCAGAGGGAGACCTGCATGGCATCAGTGATCTGCTGATCGCTGTTTCAATGCTTTAGAGGCTCCAGAAATAAAAAATAATAAATGCACATTTTTTTGTTACCTGCATAAAAAAATTATTTATTATTTTTTGTTAAAAAGGTGAACTTATCCTTTAAGCCAGTGTGTCCAGAATAACAGGCAGCTATCATTTTCATAGGGTCAGAAATGGTAGCGTATGTATTTAAATTAGATAAATATTGACAACTACTAGTTTAAACTGGATAACTGTTTTTGCATTGAAACTTCTCTAAAAGTAAGGCTTAACACCTTTTGTGTTGCATTGCTACAACGATACTGCACCATGATGCATTAGTTGCAGTGTCATTTATTTTGAGTAGCACCTCATGCATGAAAGCAACACTAGTTGATGGTACTACCAACAATGACCTGAATAGTGCAAGTAATTAGAAATTAAAAGATCACCCGTTGCCTTATGATCACAGCTAACATCCCCCAAGTGTATGGCACAGATGACTCTAGAATAATGCAAGATCTGGTTCAGACAGGTTGGTTTGAATAGCAGAAAGCTATCATTGAAGGAAAGGACATGGCAAAAGGGTTAGCCGGCAACAAGATTCTGCCACATTGTGAGACCGCTCTGTAATGAAAGAAATTTGCTTTAGGGGGTGCCCTATTTATACAAAATTTGGAACCACATAGAGAAAATTATTTTAGAATACAGTTATGCTTTTATTATGGGATTGTATAATGTCAAATCATTTACAAAGATATTTTAGGTTTGGCTCTGTATTAAATCTTCTTTTTCTTCTTCTTCTTCTTCTTCTTCTTTCTTCTTTTTTTTTTTTTTTTTTTCTTTCAGGGATTCTTTATTATGTTTACATGGGTATGCTAGCTGTCTTCTGTACCAATGCAATCAACATTCTGGCAGGAATCAATGGTCTTGAAGCTGGCCAATCTTTAATCATAGCTGGCTCTATCATTGTTTTTAACATTGCAGAGCTTAATGGTGAGTCAGTGTGAGAATATAAAATGTATATATTTGATGTATGAACTTGTTCCCCCTTGCTGTTCAAAGACTGAAATTCTATTTTTTTTTTGCTTGGTGTTTAAAAGTAATAAATATCAATCTGCAATCACACCAGGTTGCAAGCTAGCACTTGAAAGTGATAACTCTCCGCCTCCAATATGTACCAATAACATATTACTACATATTTTGTTATTGGTGTTTAAACATATCTAACATGTTTTATTTTCCATGATCTAACAAGAAGTCAAATATTACTTGTACACGTAAAGGTAACTGAGGAGGTTATAACTGCAGCTTTGGCGTAGCTATGAACTAGGGTCTAAGGACACCTTTTTTAACTATATGGGAAAAGCATTTTTTGGAAGGGGGGAATAGAGTGGAGATGGATTAGAACACTTGTCAGTTTTTATTGTTCTGTTTCCCTGTTAGGGAGCTCCACCCTCTCTGTTTGTCCTGTTTACCATTATCAGTGAAAGTAAAAGAAAATGTCAAATTTTGGGTTGTCTCCAGAAAAGTAATAGAAGGGAAATCTTCCAGTGGGGACATAGATGGCAAAAAAAAAACTGATAGGCGTTATAACCCCTCTTTACTCATTCCAAAATGGGGGAAAAAAAAGTTTTTGCCTATCGTTCTACTTTAGGGTTCTCACAACTTCAGTCATTTGAAACGAATGCAGCATTTAATCAACCCATTTTGCTTTTCTGTGTTGCATTTTATTCAGAGATTTTTGTAGGCTTTAAAATTTCTTACACATGTTTGATCTTGTCTCTAATAGGTGACTGCCATGACGATCATCTCTTTTCACTTTACTTTCTTATTCCATTTTTCTTCACCACTCTGGGATTACTGTACCATAATTGGTAAGATCTAGTTCTGAAACTGCACTGCATATCATGCATTGGTAGTAGTAGCTGGGCTGTAATGTCGTAATAGCTAGGAAAGACTGAAATAGTTTGCTACAGGAGAATGATTTATATTGCATGTGCTCTAATGGACTTGGGTTTGATTAGATTTTTGTCATTGGTAAGGTTTTTCAGTCTTGCTATAATTTACATTAATCCATTTTCACATGTACTGTATATCTAAAAATATAAATCTTTAAAATAATTCAACCACCGCAGGCAATGCATGATAGTTCAGGCACGTCCAGTGTCTACTTGCATGGATTTGCTGTAAATCACGCTACTTATCTTAAATTGGCTCTGCAATGCACAAAAGTGTGAGGGATGCCATTTTGGCCCTCTTTTGAATATAACAGGTGCCTGTAGGTGTCAATACTTTGAATCACAGGCCTGGAACAAGCATACTGTAAGGTAGGGTTCACACTACCCACAGAGAAAAACATTCAGTTTTCCTTCTCTGCTGATAGCAATCGCAGCTGAGGATTGGTGCTTTGTGTTTTACAATGCAAAGTACTGTTCTACCCCGGTAGGGGGTGTGCAGCCATTCACGACCGTGGCTGTCAATCACTGGGACTCTGCCTGTGATTGCTAAGCATCTCCGACAGGGAAGAGAACTGTTTGTAAACAAAACAGTTTCTCCTCCCTGTCAGCTCGTGCACACTGCTTTGGATGGCTGTGCTCGTTTTTCAGGTGACACACACAGAGCAGCCCATTGATTTCAATGGGCTGCGCTGCACGTGGCAAAGTATCTCATGGGACATTTTGGCATTATGCTAGTTGCATGTTTTTCACTGCACGTTGTGCTGCATTTGTCACCTGGTTTTTCATGTGGCAGAAGAAAGAGATCTATTGTGTTCCCCCCTCCATGTTTAAGGTAAACAGGTTGCTTTGCCACAAAACATTCCATGCATTATCATGCAGCCAGATGTTATCTGTTGTAACAGCCACAGGTTGTTTTTTTTTACATGTTGAGATAAAATCTTTTGCTAATTTTGGGAGGTTTAAGAGGCTTTTAGAATCTGTTCTTACAACAGTTATCCATTATTTTTTGTTTTGTTCTTTGTCATAGGTACCCTTCCAGAGTTTTTGTTGGTGATACATTTTGTTATTTTGCTGGTATGACCTTTGCTGTTGTTGGCATCGTTGGACACTTCAGTAAAACTATGTTGCTTTTCTTTATTCCGCAAGTCCTTAATTTCCTCTATTCTGTGCCTCAGTTACTGCACATAATCCCATGTCCACGTCATCGGCTTCCAAGGTAATTGCATATCTTCTTATGTGGCTTCATCACTAATTTCTGCTTAATAATGTCTGTTTTGGCACATCACAAAGCCAACATTACACTGTTCTAATCATGTTTATTACAAATTGGCACTAACTGGCCTGTTCATTATTTATTTTTTTTTTTGCAGGTTTGATCCTCGCACTGGAAAGCTTACTATGAGTTATTCGAAATTCAAATCAAAAGATCTATCAGCAATTGGAGCATTAGTTGTAAAGGTGATCTAAAATTTATAAATGTTATAACTTTATCCAGGGCATTTACTTATATTTTAGTATACGAACAACAAGCTTACAGATTAGTTTTTACTTCGCTGACTGCATAGATTTTCTAGGTTTGTGACTGACTTTAGATTCAAAGACTTTAAAGGAACTAGCATTTTCAGAAAGAATTCAGCAGTGGCAGCCGGTATATTTACATGCAAAATCATGCATGATGTGTTAATGTAAGTGGGTTTTTTTAAAGAGATTTGTTTACCTGGGAAAACCTTTAAGAAATGGGGGTATATCCTAAGACATGGGGTCCAACAACTGTTTACATTTTAGCATGCATGTCACTATAGTAACAACTGCAGCAGCATGTATTGGTACAGATACAGAACTGGCTCCTCTTTGCCAAAATTGGAACCCGTTGGGAGGAAGGAAAGAAATACATTCATTGTTAGTTGCTATGGCTCATAAAAAGCAGCAAACCTAAATAATAAAAAAAAAACAAACAAACCATTTATTACTGAAGTAGATACTAAGTTACAAGCGTTGGATATCCATGTTGTTGTAGGACATGTGTCCTAAACATTATGGGGGAGATTTACTAAAACTGGTGCATGGTGGTCAATCCGCTTCTAACTTCAGCTTGTTCAATCAGGCATTGAAAATAAAACCTGGCAGCTGATTGGTTTCTATGCAGAGCTGCACCAGATTTTTCACCATGCAGTTTTAGTAAACAACCTTTTTGTGCCTCATACGTTTTACAGGCGCAAACAGAATTTAAACATGATTTAATGGAAGCAAGAAATGAATTAGTTAACCAAAACCTTACACCAAGGTTTGTTTGGCAAGCGCTGCATTCTTTTAGGGCACTTGCTTCACGCTTTTCTAGTCCCTGTCATAGTCCACACAAGATGCCACAAAAAAAAATATTTTTTACACACACACTATATTAAATTGTGTAGGTAATGGCTAAAACCTGTAAGGTTTTCTTTACATTTTTGTCACCTGTGTCCCATTCAAATATTCCGTCCACTTCCCCTCCTGTAAAAGCAAGAGCAAGTGAGGCAAATCCCCCCTTAGATACTTTTCACCAGATCTAGTGTCTTCATTGGGGTAGTTCCACTTTATCCATGCTCTATATCCTGTGTCACAACATGCTACATGACATTAAGGAATGATGAATGACATGGCTACCATTAACGTTGCTGTAAAGTCCACTGTGAAAGAAATGCCATTATTTCAACCCAAGAGAAGACTTGACATCATTCATCCTTAGGGCAGCTCTAGGAACTCCTATTTGTTCTTCTAAAGATAAGCTTTTCCTTAAAAGAAGCCTCTACTGAGATATATATGTAAGCTGCTGTTGTTGAACTCTCCTTCTGAAAATGCCAGTCTAATGGCTTCAGTACTTACAGAATCATTGATGTACTGTAGCAAGAATGCTGGCTGCAGAGCAATAACAGTAAAAGGTTATTGATCAGGTTTAAGGAATTGCTTTGGATGGAAACAGAGATCATCTTAAATTGCAGTTAGCATTGCTCACCAGGTTGCACCTGGAATGAATGGTCTTCTGTCTCATTTTAAATTGTATTTACTTCACAGTGGCTTTTACAATGGTAGCAAATGTGTGCTATCTGCTGAATGGTTGTATTGCAGAGCTGTTTTTTTCCTATGTGAAGACATAATGTATTTGCCTATTAGACTGTATCTCTAGGCAGAGGATAGAGTGGGGAAGGGATGGACCCTCTGTAACCCTTGAGGGATAAACCACTCTGCTTGACATGACTATGTCACCACAACAGAAAGTGAGTGGACATCCAAAATTTTAGTCATGTCCAAGCAAAAAAAAAAAAAAAAAAATGGTTTTAGGTAAACATACACGCTAATTAATCTCTTACCTGCAACTATAGGCAAGCAGACAAAGTAAAACTTTCCTTCACTGTTGCAGAAAAAAAAGTCTGCCTAACCATCGCCAGGGTGCACATTACTTCTTCTGTCATTCAGATAAGCTTTCATAGTTTCCCTCACTGAGACTACATTACAGTGCTTTGAAAATGTATTCATACCTCTTAAATTTTCCACATTTTATGTTACAACCAAATACTTAACTGTATTTTATTGGGATTTTATGTGATAGACCACCACAAAGTGGCAGATAATTGTAAAGTGGAAGGAAAATGAGAAATGGTTTTCCAAATTTTTTGGGCAAATAAATATCTGAAAAGTGTGTATTTGTATTCAGCCCCCTTTACTCTGATACTCCTAACTAAAATCTAGTGGAACCAATTGCCTTCAGAAGTCGCCTAATTAGTAAATGGAGCCCACCTGTGTGTAATTTAATCTCAGTGTAAATTCTGTGAAGCCCTCAGAGGCCAAGGAACACACCAGACAGGTCAGGAATAAAGTTGTGGAGAAGTTGTAAAGCAGGGCTAGGTTATTATTATAATAATAATAATAATTTATTAATAATAATAATTAAAAAACAATATCCCAAGCTTTGAACATCTCACGGAGCACTGTTCAATCTATCAGCTGAAAATGTAAAGAGTATGGCACAACTGCAAACCTACCAAGGTATGGTCGTCCACCGAAACTGATAGGCCAGGCAAGGAGAGCATTAATCAGAGAAGCAGCCAAGAGGCCCATGGTAATTCTGGAGGAGCTAAAAAGATCCACAGCTTAGGTGGGAGAATCTGTCCACATGACAACTGTTAGTTGTGCACTACACAAATCTGGCCTTTATGGAAGAGTGGCAAAAAGAAAGCCATTTGCAGTTTGCGAGAAGCCATGTGGGGGACACAGCAAACATGTGGCAGAAGGCGCTCTGGTCAAATGAGACCAAAATGTAACTTTTTGCCTAAAAGCAGAATGCTATGTGTGGCAGAAAACTATTCTGCACATCACCCTGAACACACCATCCCCACCGTGAAACATGGTGGTGGCAGCATCATGTTTTGGGATACTTTTTCTTCAGCAGGGACAGGGAAGCTGGTCAGAGATGATGGGAAGATGGATGGAGCCAAATACAGGGCAATCCTAGAATAAAACCTATTAAAGTCTGCAAAAGAATTGAGACTACGGTGGCGGTTCACCTTCCAGTCGATGTCCAGACCTAAATCCAATTGAGAATCTGTGGCAAGACTTGAAAATTGCTGTTCAGATGCTATCCATCAAATCTGACAGAGCTTCAGCTATATTGCAAAGAAGAATGGGCACAAATTTAACTCTCTAGATGTGCAAAGCTGGTAGAGATATCCACAAAAAGTCTTGCAGCTGTAATTGCAGCGAAAGGTGGTTCTACAAAGTATTGACTCGGGGCTGAATACAAATGTACGCTACACTTTTCAGATATTTATTTGTAAAAGATTTTGAAAGCCATTTATCATTTTCCTTCCACTTCACACTGTGCCACTTTGTGTTGGTCTATCACATAAAATACCAATAAAATACATTTACGTTTTTGGTTGTAACATGACAAAATGTGGAAAATTTCAAGGGGTATGAATACTTTTTCATGGCACTAACTCCACTCTGGAGGTTTCCACTGTTCAACTCTGGCCCCCTGTTCAAGAAAAAGTGTACCTTACTCTTGGGTAAGATCCTCCTATTGGACAAGTGGCCAGGGTTTAATGCTCTGGATGGGACTTATGCCCAGATTTAGAGTATAGGCTTCTATAAGCAACTGAAATAACAATTAGGCAGCAGTTGTTGCTTTGAAGAGTTTGATAAGGAGTGATGCTGGAGGACTGAGGGAGGTGTGTGTAATGCCTATTGCACCAAAGTAATGCAGAAAACTTTTCCAAAATTGCACTGCAGAGAGGTGCATTATTTAGAATGGGCTCCATTTAAAATATTGTGTTTTCCCTTTGAACCTAAACCAACTTTCACGGTCACCGCTCCGGCATCTATGTCCCCCAGTTGGTATATTCCACTGAAGGTGCATGTACAGTATCTCACAGAAAGGAGTACGCCCCTCACAGTTTTGTAAATATTTTATTATATCTTTTCGTGTGATGACACTTTGCTACAATGTAAAGTAGTGCGTGTACAGCTTGTATAACATGTAAATTTGCTGTCCCCTCAAAATAACTCAACACACAGCCATTAATGTCTAAACCACTGGCAACAAAAGTGAGTACACCCCTAAGAGAAAATGTCCAAATTGGGCACAAAGTGTCAATATTTTGTGTGGCCACCATTATTTTCCAGCATGGCCTTAACCCTCTTGGGCATGGAGTTCACCCGAGCTTCACAGGTTGCCACTGGAGTCCTCTTCCACTCCTCCATGACGACATCACAGAGCTGGTAGATGTTGGAGACCTTGCGCTCCTCCACCTTCCGTTTTGAGGATGCCCCACAGATGCTCAATAGGGTTTAGGTCTGGAGACATGCTTGGCCAGTCCATCACCTTTACCCTCAGCTTCTTTAGCATGGCAGTGGTCGCCTTGGAGGTGTGTTTCGTTATGTTGGAATACTGTCCTGCGGCCCAGTCTCCGAAGGAAGAGGATCATGCTCTGCTTCAGTATGCCATAGTACATGTTGGCATTCATGGTTCCCTCAATGAACTGTAGCTCCCCAGTGCCGGCAGCACTCATGCAGCCCCAGACCATGACACTCCCACCACCATGCTTGACTGTAGGCAAGACACACTTGTCTTTGTACTCCTCCTGGCACACACTTGCTGCGTCCCCTGGCCTGAAAGAAGCTGCGCGCAGCTTGACTTTCACGAACTCCCACCAGTCGCTGACCTTAGGAAAGAAAGACTTTATCTCTCGCCAGGCACCGTAGATTTCCCTGAGCTCCGCTAGCAGTTCCTCATCAGCCCAGCAGGGTGCAATTCAGCTTCCAGGAGCCTGGGCCCGGGGCAAAGCCCTCTCCCAGTCACTTTGAAAGTGAATGGCCCTGTGGTCAGAGAAAAAGCAGGGAACCATGGGAACCCGCGGTGCCTTCTTGTGTAGGTGAGCACAAAGAATCCTGGAGCGCACGGATCCGTCGGGGCGGCTCCATGAGTAGTTCAC